GCCAAAAGTAGCACTGCAGACAAGGTTCTGCACCATTAGGCAGTATACTAGAGCCTTCTGGGTCGACTGCCAAGCCTATTCAAACTAAGTCCAGAACAGGAGCCTCATTCAAACCCAGAACTCAAAAATATGTTTGCTCACTGGCTCCAAACAAAACTATAAGCAAACACGGGCCTCTTCTAACTTGCTTAATTACAGTTGTGCTTATTTCAAATACAATACATCACGATTTTCTTATTCACGAGCTGTGGTGTCAATAAATTTACAATAACTACAACACAAGCGTTGTTTCAGCACAGACATCAATATACACAGAGGATGGCTATCATCATTCTGAAGACAACCACCATTGGTGCAAAAAGCATATAAAAGATTTTTTTAAAAATCTCTGGAACAGACAGACATAAACACACACTTTTTATTGCTTGATTGTCACTCCTAGGTACTCCCCGTTCTCAATATAATTGACTGAACTGTTGCAGAGAACGGATGGCTGGGAGTTTATTTCAGAGCAAGTGAACATTGAAAAGGATCTGGAATGCATTCAGTAGCATGAATTCTGTCTCTTTTTTTATTCTTCGGAGGCCAGCATCCTGAGTGACTGGAATGCACTCACTGGTACTCTGGGATCATTCAGTCCTAAGTCCTTCCTGATCTGTTTGGCTCATATTTACCCATTCAGGGGGGTGGGGGAGCGGGAAAGGGAGAAAATAAATCATAGGTTTTATATTTTATGTGGTTTAAATGATTTGTTGTTTTGAGTTTTCTTGTTCCATTTTTTCCGGAGTTCTTATTCTCCATTAAGGCTGCCAAATTTTACATTGGAAATTCTCATCAGTTGTCTTTCTTTAAAAAAAATTAATGGAAATAAAAATCTATAGTGGGGTACTCCTATATATTGAAATCTTAGAAAAGTACTATTTTCCAGTAAAATTCAGCAATTTAGAACATATTTTACTCAAAATCACCTTTCACACTTCATTTTCTGTGAAGGTTGCTAAAAATCAATCTCATGAAACTAAACTTCATGTCATAACATGAAGCAACTTGCCAAAATCTCAAATTATAATAACCCTTCCCTTTTCTAAAAGATCTGTGCACTAGGCACTAATCCAGTGAGAACTGGCAAGAAATTTAAAACTTTAAAATTTAGATCACTTTTCCTCTGTAATTGGCTTTTAGAAGGTGTGAAGACAAAATTTGTATGAGCCTCTCTTCACATTTCATGTCTTAATTACAATAATCATTAAGATTTAATATAGCACGTTATCACATCATCAAAACGTTCCAAAACGTTAACCTGGACTATGAGTTCAAAGACATTATTTTAAGCTCAAATGCACAATCTACTGACAGAGGCAAGAGTACTACCAACTGTAGCTGACACTACTACAAAGAAGAAGCTTGCCAGGCTTAGCACCTGTCGTGATGGATTGAACTAAACTTGAAATCCACCATGTGGAACACAGCAATTTTAAACTTAGTTCCATAAACAGCACAGCACCAATGTATAATTACAAAAGGTGGACAAGAAAACTACAAAAAGTTTAACTTGGACTAACAAATGTCACTTTCATGGAAAATCATGTATTTTGGAATACGTTATTATAGAATCACAGTCTACCAATTCTTTGAGAAGCCACAATCCCTAAAACTATAAGTTTACAATTTGTGTACTAATACTATATATACACAAAACATCCCTGTTTACAACTCTCAAAAGGCAAGGTTACAAAGAAAATCTCAGTAAATTTCAAATTGACCCCAACAAGGTATATGCATTACATTCCTGTGCCATGTGAAACTTGGTCAACATTACAGTTGATTGCAACTATTCCCTATTGTGAGCAAAATCCTCACAGACCTTGTTTTTCTGCCCTTCAGTTTGTTTATGAAGACAATCGCTGCTTAATGAGGCCAGAGAACAGAGTTAAACTCGACATTCAATGACCTGGATGTTTATTTTAGGTCAGCTGATAGCGTCACCATGCAGATCAGCTGGTAAGACTAAATCCTGAAGACTGACAGTTAAAAGCAATCTCAGCCCTGGCAGCCCAGGACTCCAGCACGCTGAAGAAAATTCACTTAATGTGCGTCAATTGGAATTTGAAGGCCTTCTGAATTAAAAATGAACTTTACTTGTGGAAAGAAAGATCTTAGCAGTATCATTTTACTGCAGCCCCTTTATAAAAGATATACACCCTGGAAATGAAATGCTAACTATAAATAGTTGAGTAAAGGTTTTTCACCACTGCACCTCAATGTCAGTGGGTAAGTGAGTAGAAACTGCTGCAGGGAATCACAGAAGCAACCTGAACAAAAGGGTCCAATGTATTTCTTTTTAAAATGCATGTATACAAGCAACCAACTTGGGACAACACAAGATGCAAGGACATTAGGCACAACTAAGAAACCAAGCCACTTACACTCAATTCAAAGTTTATTTTTGAGAAACTGAATTCACCTCTTTACTTACAACTTAGGTTAGCTGATCTCAGATAGAGCAACAGTTAGGATGCCTTTAACATCCCAAGTTGGCGGAGCGGAGGGGAAGGACAGATGAATCAACCAAACAAGTTTCCTGAAACACTACCCGGTGATTGTACAGATCGAAGCATGCAATATTATTCTGTGGAAATTTATCACTGTGGAACTGTATGTGATTCACTTGATTGTGATTTAATAAGCAGAGTGCTAACCAGAAGCTGCTGCACATATGACAGAGCAGTCCACATCTTGCTTTTTTTTACTAAATTTCAACATTAACCTTACAGAAATTCAGACGTTAAGAAAATTTAAACAACAAACAGAAAACAATGGCAATAAAAAAGTCAGTTCAAGGAGATTGTTGGCATTCAGTGCCCATCACATTCGCTGAGTCAAAAATATTCAGAAATAAGTCACTGTAAAATAACTGTAATGAGTCACCCTTCCTGATAACTCATTTCAGATGTTGATTAGCCTTGATGTAAAAAAAATACACTGGCTTAATCATCCCATTCAACTCTGAACCTGAGACCTCTGATTCTGTTGCCTTGCCATAGCTAAAAAGTATAATTCTTACATTTGATATAGCACATTTCACACTAAAAAAAGGGTCCTCCGCTCCACCTCAACGGCCGTGCCTTCAGCCACTATGCTCCGAGGCTCTGGAACTGCCTTCCTCACTCCCTTCGTCTCGCTCCCTCCCTTCCCATTTTCAGGTCTTTGCTGAAGACCTTTCTTTTCGACCACGCCTTTGGTCACCTTCCCCGCCCCTCCCCTTGGCTCGGTCCTGGGGTCCGTTACTGTAAGGCGCTCTGAGACGCCGTCCGGCATGGAGGGCGCTATATGAATCCAAGTTGTTGTTGTCTCAAAACTGTTCATGGTATTGACTGTAAAGTGTAGTAATTGTGTACTCTGAGGCAAATACAGCAACAAATTTGCGCATAATATCCCACAAACAGTCAAAAAGGAATGAACAATTTTATCTAGGGGATTGTTAAGAAGGACACCAGGAGCATCTATCTCCCTTCTTTTTCAGAGTACCATGTTCACGTAGACTTGGAACAGGTACATGGGACCTCAGCTCACTGTCTCTTTCAAAGGATGGCATCTTTGATAAAACAGCACTGCAATGGATCCGAGTCTATGAGTTCAAAGTCCTGACATGCCACTTGAGCCCCACAACCTTCTGACTCAGAGGCGAGAGCGCCTACCAAATGTCTTACGCTGAACCTGTGCCTTGTCCTGCAGCCTTGACGTGGATGAAAGTACATGCCAGTACCCATCCAACAGTTAGCGCAACTCTGTTCTTCAGCTGGTTGAAGTATTTGCACAATAGAATTAAAAAGCAAGCTCAATACCTCTAAACATTTCCCTTGTAAATCAATGTCTTTCTTCATTCTGGCTTCTTCACTCCGCCTGATCAATGCTGCTTGCCCTGATCCCTCCCAAGACCTCCCATCCTCCATTATTCCTTGAAACAATTTTCATCTCCTGCTTACTGTTCCACAGAGGTTCGCAAGCATCATAAGCAGTCAGATGACTTGAAGTTCCCTCAGAAACATAATACAAAGCAAGAGCGACTAATTTTAAAAAAATTAATGATAAAATGATTGCTATACAACGCTTGATTTCAAACAAGATACATAGTAATTTAAGCATTAAACAAATTAAACAAGTCAGGCCTAGTTAACCCACTCGCCTATTGTACATCCAATGTTAATCTGTGTTTTACTTGCCTCGGAATCCACAGAGGTCCACTGCTATTCTCTATAATCTACCAGAAGCAAAATGTCTTAAGAAAAATTACTGAATAATGTCAGATAATTTTCCTTATCATTAGATCACAACCTCTTCGTAAGCATGTCAAAATAAGCTTTCAGAAGCATTCCCCCAATTGTTCAGCAAGTCTACCTCATGAGCAAATTAGCCATACTAATCAGGAAGATCCAAGGGTCAATCTTCAAGTCTGTGATAACTAATTGATCTCAACTAAGGTGACAATTGCAGTACTATGATTGCTTCAATACATCAGACGAGGGAAAGGAAAGCCCCAACTTACCAGCCCCAAGCTTCCTACCACTAATCACCCTCCAATCGCCTGTTGCAAGTGCCCGAATGCAGAAGTCACTGAGGAAAGATTTCACTCATCTGCTCCGTTATATAACGCGTTATATAAGTGGAGAAAACTCCTCTTGCTCATCTTGAATAATAATAATCCTTGAATTTGATATAGTACCTTATCACGTCCTCAAGATGTCTCAAAGCACTTCACAGAATATACTGTAAGAGTGAATTGACTGTATATTTTGTGGGCGAAACTCAGCAGCCAATTGCCCACCGTGTCCCACAAACAGTCGTGGATTGAGTGACCAAATTACTATTATTATTAGTTGATTTATTTATTGGAAGGGATTATTACCCCCAGAAAAGCGATCCGCCAATCAACTAACACCCGGTTTCCTACTTACTGCCAGGTAAACAGATGTGTGAAGTAAGGAAACTTGTCCGACATTTCGCCCTGCTAGGGATAGAACCCAGGTCCTTTCGCTCGCTAGGCGAGTGCTCTAACCACTGAGCTACAGGGCTCCACACAACTTGAAAACATAGCTTTCTTGACAAGAAAGCATACTTGAGTGCACAGAAAAAGATGCTGAAGAGAGCTTCCTCATCTCAGCTTTCATGTGCATTATTCACAATCTATAGTTACGCTTTCTCACTTTAAACTAGTACGGGTACAACCAATCTATAAACAAATTCTTCCCCCACAACCCCACGCATCTACAAGAGATTGTTATCTCCATAATGAGTCTGTTTCCAGAAGACATTTCTAAGACAGAAGAAAACTATTATACCTAACATCCTTTTTTGATGGTTCTTAAGCTCAGCTCCCTTTCTTCTCTTCAAATATATGTGTATTCTTCAATCCTTTTTCTTCCACACAAAAAAAATCTAATTGCCCCTTGAACACATTCAATAGGTTTCCCTGGTAAAGTATTCCAAAACCATAGAAATTTCCAGCACAGAAGACCATTCAGCCCAACATGTCTGTGTTGGCTTCATCAAGAGTAATCCTTTCAGCCCCATTTACCTGCCCTTTCCCTATACCCCAGTAGTTGACTCTTCCTAAGGTATTTTTTCTAGTTCCCACTTGTAGACCAATATAGATTCTGTAAGTGGAAATAATTAAAAACAAGTAAAAAGATCATTTTACCTGACAACTTTGGTATCATCTAGAGCAGTGGTGGTCAATCTATTTTGGTCAGTCAACAAAATAAATGTTCTTGATTGAATAATTTTTGTTTTATGGCATAATCAATCAAGAAAAACTGGAAACACTGTTGATTTAAAACACACTCACCTAGACAAGTGTGAATGTTCGGAGAGCCACTTCCAGCCCACGGGTTGGCCACCACTGATCTAGAGACGAGGTCACTATTGTCCATGTTGTTCATCTGGATTAAAAACCAAAAGGTCCCAAGGCCAGCCTCATTTCCTCGGTACCCCAGTCAACACAAGGCCTGCCTGTTTTCTGTCCTTAAGCTAACTTTCCAAACAGCATAATTTCTCACTATTTCAATGAGTACTTCTGAAACTAACACAAAAAAATCTGCAGAGCCGTGCAGCTGTTACAGAAACAAATTTGCAGCTGTAAGGCAGTTTTATTGCTGAAAATATACCAGTACTTCTGTCTCATTACCTGTGCAGAATGACTGAGTGAAATGAGTAGGTCATTTTTAAACTGTTCCCATCAATTCTCTCCTCTCTGAATGGTTTCAGTATAAAAATAAGGCAAGTTACAAACAATCATAGGTTTGGTCATAGGGCTTAGAAAATGGAAACAGATTGTTCCAAAATCACAAGAACTGTCACAGGGAAGAAAAATCAAGAATCAACGTGATGGTATACCTTAATATATCTTATATATATTTGTTTTCCCCACTTTATTGAAATAAATTAATATTTCTCAGTCTATCTAGCACATGCCCAGTTGTAAATGTTTTTCATATGAAGCGGTTGTTTTTTTTTAAATCAAGGCTGTCTCTAAATTAAAGCCCTTTAAATCCAAACTGCACATTCTACATTACAACTGAGACAACAGTTGGCAGTGACTTGTTTTTAGGCCAGACGGCCTCATTTCCAGCAGGCAGTCAATAACATTTCCAAAATGTAAACTGATCACCAAATTTCTGTATTTTTTCACCTGTTTATTTCTGCGGAATCATGGGTACAAATTGTCCCAATGCCACATTTCATTTTTCTGTCCAGGAGCTGATGAAACACCTCTAAAAACGCTTAACCTTCTACAGTAAAGACACTTAAGAATGGCTTCCAAAGATTTTTGGCCTTTGTTGGACTTCACAGTGCCTTTGCTGCTCTCTTTGAAGCGTGCCTTTGAAAGAGAGACCGCAGCCAGAGCTTTGGCCAATAACAGTTTTTGGAAATTTCCCAAAATGGCAACTTTACCACACACATCTCCATGGGCTCATGACTTCCGGCAGAAAGTCTTAACGTGTGAAACAAGGTGAATACCTGCTGCTTTTTCCCTTCCTACCACAGTAAGCATATCACCTCTCATGCAGTATCTGATAGACTCAACAGAGATCAGTAACTCAGTGTACGGACAATTGTATACTTATAAATTGTATACTTTTGAAACTACATTGATTGCTTAGATTTTTCCTATATTTAGTTTTCCTCAGTGGATTAATTGCCCATCCTCCATGAAACAATTTACAGCTTAACCCAGTTATAAGGTGGTAGCTGGAGTCCATAAAATTCCATGCCGCCATATAATGGGGCACTATTGTTAAGTCAGCACAACCTCTTCAAGGCATGACCACAGCTTGTAACATCATCGCGCACACATGCAGAAAGTTGTTGACTCAACTGATACACAACTTCACTATCTCTGGATAGGTCCTGCACCCAGCTTCCAGTAACCAGAAATCCACAACAAGCTATTTACATTGACAGAGCATCTCTCACATTAAGAGGATGTCTAAAACCTCTTCCCACAATTGACTGGGAAAATTAAGCAAAATAATAAAAATAATAATAATAATCCTTGCATTTGATATAGCGCTTTTCATGTCGGGAGGACGTCCCAAAGCGCTTCACAGAACACACTGTAAAGTGAATTGACTGTATATTTGTGGGCGAACGCGCAGCCAATTGCGCACAGCAATGTCCCACAAACAGTCGTAGATTGAAAATGACCAATTTTTTTTATTATTGTTTTTTGGTTTTTTTGGAGGGATTATTATTATCTTGTTGATACTCGTCAACAAGTTGATGTCTCACCACTGTAATCATAGACAGACTGCAGACATAGTTGGGAAGAGAGACTGCAGACATGGATGCAGTGGGCATGGAGAGAAGGAATAACATGACCAAATCCAGTGGCAGCCGGTTTCATAGCCAAGACCAATAATTTATATTTTGAAATAGACTGAGAACAGGAGAACTGTCTGCAATTGTTGTAGGCCTACAACAACAAAATGAACAATATCTACCAAAAATGAAGAACCCGTTTTGATCCAAACTAACACATGGATTTCAAGCGGACACAAAAGGTGAGTGAAATCCAATCCACTAACAAGATGAATGGCAAAACTGGTGCACAAATTTGATTTTTTTGGCGGGGACAGGGGGGAGGTTGTGGTTTATTTACAAATAGTTACTCTCCCCAGCATGATTCCACACTACAATACATTGCAGTAATATCGCCCACAAAATAGTCAATTATTTCACTTTACAGTATATTCTATGAAGCGCTTTGAAACATCTCGAAGACATGATAAGGAGCTATATCAAATGCAATGATTATTATAATTACTATCCCCTCTACAATGTTCCTGGCTGGAATGAGAGCATTCCATTTGGGCCTATCAGATCCCATCGCTCTTTTTGATATCATTTCAATGTAGTTGACTGGAAGGGGAAAAAAATGGAAACATATAAACTGAAGATATTGTCTATATTTCAGATTATATACAATTAGTAAATAATATACTACAGCATTTCAACAGTTGTTGAAGCATGTGGGCTAAAAATCAAAAGGGAAACAATGGCAATTGGAAAGCGACTGATACTCTGAAAATCAACAATCAATAAATCAATTGTTTGTACATTCTGTATGTTTAGATTACAACTAAAGACAAAGATTGCCATCTACCTGGCTTCACACAAATACAAGCCATGGGTATTATTGTTTTCTGAATCGGCTCATTCTGGGAGTAGAAATTGTTTTCCAAACAACAACAAAATGAACAATAACAAATCCCCCCAAACAAGGCAACTCAAACCAAAACATATTTTTTTCAACAATGAGTAAACCCCGGTTACAATGAAAATTTAAAACATGTAAAACTCTTCTCAAACCAAGGACCAACATGGCCAGGAAGCAGGTCAATGAGGTGCACTTAGCATATGATCCGGAGGTAAGCAGTGGACCACAATCATACAGCCAACAGGTACTATTGGGTACAGTCAGTGAGTGAAGTAGCTCATTACACGCTGTTAAAATTATTAAATGAACCTATTTCTCAGGAAGGCTTCGACACCCTATTCTGCACATTTAGGAGTCAACAATTAAATGAAATACACAATGGGAATTCACCTGACGGTAAAAAGCATTAAATAAAACCAAGCTTTAGGTTGCCACATAAACAGTGCAGCGGATCATCATCACCACCACCACCACAGGATTCCTCTCTCTCTCTGTCTTTTATCTGTCTGTCTGTCTGTCTGTCTATGAGGATGGCACTGATTGACGGGTTTCTTTAATGGAAACAAAAAAAAGTTTGGCTATCTAAAAAAATTATTACTGTCAACCTTTAAACCACGTCTCGCCGCAGGCCAAATGGGAATAATATAAGACACATACACACATACATATCACACACATTTGCATACATGTACACACACATGCACACATGCACACACACACATATGCACAGGTACAAAAATGAGGTGCTTTACGTTATTGGGCAAAGGTGCAAAACAGACAAAACAAACAAAAACAACAAAAATTGCTTTGACATTGCGAACTAAGATCAACAGCAAAAAAACGCCAGGAGGGAGTTTCTGGTGACAACTTGAAAAAAAAATAGCTCATGCGCCAACATACAGACAACACTTCGGCAGCGCCCGCGATTCACCCCGAGACAGGACAGCACTGGGGCTGACTGTGGAAGCGGATTAAACACCAAATAGGGGGGCGGGGAGGGGGGGGGGAACCCGGGGGGGGGGGGGGAACCCGGGGGGGGGGCCCGGAGGGAGGGGGTGGGGAGAGCCCGGGAGGGGAGCCCGGGGGAGAGGGGGTGGGGAGAGCCCGGGGGGGGGTGGGGAGAGCCCGGGGGGGGGGTGGGGAGAGCCCGGGGGGGGGGTGGGGAGAGCCCGGGGGTGGGGGTGGGGAGAGCCCGGGGGGGGGGGGGAAGAGCCCGGGGGGGGAACCCGGGGGAGAGGGGGTGGGGAGAGCCCGGGGGGGGGGGGGGAAGAGCCCGGGGGGGGGGAACCCGGGGGAGAGGGGGTGGGGAGAGCCCGGGGGGGGGGGGGGGTTGAGAGAGCCCGGGGGGAGGGGGGAATAGCCGGGGGGGGGAGCCCGGCGGGTGAGCCCGGGGGGAGAGCTCGGGGGGGGGGGGGGGGAGGGAGCCGAGGCGGGGAGTGACTCACTGGGAGCCATCGGTACAATGGAGCCGTGACTCATCCGGTCAGAGCAAAAGGCACATCCTCCTTCCCTTTACACTCTCCCCCAACACCCCCCCCCTCCCCAATCAATCCATCCATCCATCCATCCTCCTCCTCACCCTTCCTCCTCCTCCTCCTCCTCTTCCCTTGAGCGACCTCACAAGTGGGCCCCGGAGGCTTTACCCCCCGCCCCCCCTCCCCTTACCCTGGTCCCAGCAAAGCTCTCTCTCTCTCTCTTTCTCCCCTCCCACCCTCCCTCCTTCCTTCCTTCCCTCCTCCCCCACCACCACCACCATCCGCCCCCGCCCCCCACTCCTCGTTCGTCAACAAACACCCCCCGCGACCTGAGTCCCCCCCCCACCCCCTCCCCCACCGGGTTTGGCCCACCAGCACATGTGCGTGTGTGTGTGTGTCCACGTCGCTACTTTCTGTCGGTGTGTTACACACTCACGCGGTTTACAATGGTAGCAAGTTGGGGCGAGGAGATGAAGAAGAAGAGGAGGAGGAGGCGGGTGATGGTGATGGGGGGGGGGAGCAAAGCCCCCCGCGCGCCGGCTGTGGCTGTGTGGCTGGTGCTGCTGCTGTTGTTGTTGCTGTTGGTTGGTGGCGGCGGCGGCGGCGGGTGGGCGCGTACGTGCGTGCGGGGTTGGGTTGGGTTGGGCGGGGTGAGGCGGTTTGGGCGGGCGGCTCCTGGTGGAACGTCGTGGCTGGCGCGCGGGCGGGCGGGCGGGGCGGGGCGGGGCGGGCTGGCGCGCGGGAGGCGGGGCGGGGCGGGCTGGCGCGGGGAGGCGGGGCGGGGCGGGCTGGCGCGGGGTGGGCGGGGCGGGCTGGCGCGGGGAGGCGGGGCGGGGCGGGCTGGCGCGGGGTGGGCGGGGCGGGCTGGCGCGGGGGGGCGGGGCGGGCTGGCGCGGGGCCGCTCCGAAACCCTGCGACGTTTGCTGCCGCTCACAACACGGCAGCGGGTCAGCAGCCCAGAGAGAGAGAGAGAGAGGGAGTGTGTGTGAGAGAGAGAGAGAGAGGAGGTTTTTAAGGAGAAGTTACTTCTGAAACACTATTTCCTGCCCCTCCCCCCACACACACACATTTTACCTGTCAACCCTCTCCCTCCCTCCTCTTCCTCTCTCTCCCTCCCTCTCCTCTTCCCCCCTCTCCTCTTCCCCCCCTCCTCTTTCTCCCTCTCCTCTTCCTCCCCCCTCCCTCTCCTCTTCCTCCCCCCCTCCCTCTCCTCCTCCCCCCTCCTCCCTCTCCTCTTCCTCCCCCCTCCCTCTCCTCTTCCTCCCTCTCCTCTTCCCCCCTCCTCTTTCTCCCTCTCCTCTTCCTCCCCCCTCCCTCTCCTCTTCCTCCCCCTCCCTCTCCTCTTCCTCCCCCCTCCCTCTCCTCTTCCTCCCCCCTCCCTCTCCTCTTCCTCCCCCCTCCCTCTCCTCTTCCTCCCCCCTCTCCCCTCCCTCTCTCCTCCATTGCCCCCCCCCCTCACCTTCTTCACAGTTTGCCAATAACACTGCAAAAATAACCAAACACACAGACACACACACACACACAGACAGAAAAATAATATAAAAAAAGAAAACAATACCCCCCGCCTTTGGGATGATGATGATGATGATTGTTGTTGTTATTATTATTATTTATTACTACCGCCTCGAATGCTTATTTATGTGTTGTTTTGTTTGCGGGGGTGAGGGGAGGGTGAGGGGGGGGGTGAGGGGCGCTTTGAACTTACCAGGAAGAGAGGAGGAAGAGGAGGAGGAGAAGAGAAGAGAAGGAGGGGGTGGGTTGGGTTGGGTTTGGTTGGTTGGTTGGTTGGGATGAATTTTTTTTAAAAAAAGCCCCCCCCCCCCCCCCCCACTCTTTCTTAAAGGAAGTCATCTGTGAAGAGAACGGGTTATTCGCGAAGTTTTTAGTTGAGAGGAGTCGACCTCACGCCAAAAAAACAACAACAACAGCAGCAGCAGCGACCACCACCACCACCAACAACAACAACAACCAAACGCTCCCGGACTAACGTGATATAACATGGCATTTGCATTTTTTTGGGGTTGTCTGATTGGGACTCTCTCTCTCTCTCTCCTCTCCTTCTTTCTCCTTCTCTCCCTCTCTCCCCTCTCCTCTCTCTCACACACTCTCACACACACACACAGGGTGTCAGTGGCAATGCGGTTTGCTTTTATTTTACACATATATATATTTATCTGTCTATTTATTTATCTATATATATATCGATATCTATTTATTTATATCGATTTATATTTATGTATATTTTTTTTAAAAAAGAGAGACTCAGTCGTGGCTCTGTTACTCACAGGGCGTTGGGGAATTATCGGTGGTCGTGAAGGGGGGGAGGGGGGGGGGAGGAGGGGGCAAAACGACACTGTCCTTACTTTTATTTTCCCACCCGAAAAAAAAAGGGGGTGGAATTGGAGGAGGTGTTGTTGGTGGAGGAGGTGGGGTTCGAACCTATGTGTGTGAGGGGAGGGAGAGGGAGAGGGGGAAACATGGCCAACGCAGCCGTCAAAACGCTATCAATGGCCGCGCCCCCCCCACCCCGCCGTGTGGTGAAGCCAATCCGAGGCGGCCTTACAGAGCGAGCAGCAGCCCAGCGGGAGAGAGGGGACCTGTGATAGGCTGCCTGGCAGCGAGCAGGGAAGTGACTGACTGACTTGACATGACATGTGGGGAGGGGGGGGGGAGGGGAGGGGGGGAGAGTGGGTTTTGCTCAGAAATTAAAGTGAGTTTGTAGCCCAAAGTCGAACCAAACGCGACCCCCACCCCTCCCCCCCCCCCCCCAGATTGGCTAATTTACCCCCACCGTTTGGCTCGGGATCTCAGCGAAAGGGGGGGCAGGGGGCACGGGTGGGGAAACGCGGCCATTGCTTGCTGTGCGCCACTGGCCGCCGCGTTTTGCCCACGAAAACTGGTTCGATTCACCTGCCGGTATATTCTGAGCAGCGCTTTTGAGACGTCTCCGGAACACGAACTGTCCGGCGCCTTGGGACGTCCCCCCCCCCGTCCCCCCGTCCCCCCCCGACGTGAAAGGCGCAACACAAATGTAATCTCGTTGTTGTCTCAACGTCGTGATAAAATGCTCCATCGAATGCAAGGATTATCATTATTATTTAGGTTTGGTGCTTTTGAAACCGTGTTAAGGAAAGGTCTTCGAAGGCACTGGGGGTGGTGGGGAGGTGGGGGTGGAGGTTGTTTTATAGGTTTAAGTTAAAATTTTAAAGATTAGGCACCCGCCCCAAGATCTTTTGTGGACGCACAGTACAGCGCAACAAAAACACACCCAATCTAGCAACGTTGCTCGCTGCACGGCAGCACACGTCAAGTCACTCATTCCAACTCAGCTCAGACTTCACCTGTGGTTCTGGTGCGCGAGTATCTTTGATACAGGCTGAACCGTTCACCATGCTTGAAGAGCATCCAAGACAAGACCGAGTTCCGCATTTGCGAAACATACGTGCTGATATCACCTCACACATATGTTGTTCACCCCGTCTGAAAAAAGGATTGAAGGTTACCACAACAAGGGTATTCCCTCATTTCAGCAGGAAACAAAAATTCCAACCAAACGCAAGCCTATCACACCCAAAATCTTTACATTAATTGTCTTTTTTGAGTTGCAAAAAATAAATGTTTCCGTTCCATCACCCCTCTCTGGGCCAAGCATTGTGAAATTCTTCAATTTTATATTCCCCCACCCCCCTCCACTCTCAAATAGGGCCCTGGCTGTTTTCTCCATATTGGCTTTAAGCATATAGTGGAAATGGAGGTGTCACTGTGGATCAGTTGGTAGCAGTCTCTTCAGTCATTTATGAGTCAAGAGTTCATGGGTTCAAGCCTCATGTCAGCCCTTTGAGGTCGTAGCTTAGGCTGACATGCCAACGAAGTGTCCAGCTACTGTTGTAAGAGATTCCATGGCACTATTCAAAAAGAGAAGGCCGTTCTTTCAGTTTCCTGACAATTCTCCAGATAAGCCTGGTCGTTCATGTCATGACTGTTTGTGGATCATTGGTGTGTATGGCCCAAGTTGGTTACCATGTTTGCCTGCAAATGGACCATCACAACATTTTAGAGTATGCCATGTGACATGCTTTAAGATGATTTGTTGATGTGATAAGGCACTATTCAAATGCAGCAATCATTATTACTATAAACACCAAATAACTGGGTATATGTATCCCATGTAGTAATACTGAGACATGCAGACAGGGAAAATCTGGGTTTCATCCTTGGCTCATCTCAGCTGTGGCTTCAGTTCAATTACTAAAATTGTCCTAAGCTTCTCTAAGCAAAATGAGCCAGTATTCCCACTCCTACTCCATATAGTGTGGTTCCAACATGCAGTTATTAAGTGAATGAGGACAGAGCCTGGTTTGGCTACAGTGATGGATTTAGTATGTCAACGTTTACTGTGGAAGTTCACAAATGACCAATAGACACTTGGGAGATCTAACAGAACTTTGCTGACAGCCCATGCAGCTACACCCTACTTTGATTCGCTGCCTCCAGAAAAGAGAAGGAAAGAAATGCAATATCCCCCCTGTGACTATTTAACTTGCAACACCCGTGCCACTGTCAGGGAAATAGAGAGAAAGAGACCCCAGAAAATGAAAAAATATTGAAGTGGGTTTGAATGAGTCAAAGTAAACTTAGAAAAAGCATCAAACTACAAAGGAACCCAAATGTTTCAGCTCATTCTTTGTTTGCTCTTTTAAAACAGTACCAAAGGAGAAGTGAAAATTGTTAGCTCTTCTTTTAGTTATTTAAACATAGTTCTTGAAACACCATTTTATGTTTAACTTGGTTACTTCCTATCACTGTTCTAAAGATATAAATATGTTTGCTGTATAATAAATATAATTTTTTTAAAGAAGATGAAAACCACATGGAGAACAGTTTTAGCTTGTTGCTTTTCTAACTTATGCAAAACGTTCTGAATATATATATATCATACAGTGACATTAACATTGTTCAAACAAATTCCTTCTTTAGAATATATAATGAATAAAGACAGATTGAAATTTCAGTTAAACAATTTTCAAATCTATTGCTGTTTATGGTTTTTTTTGCCAGCACAAATTTGCTGCTTTGCTTTCCTATATACCAATATTCACTTCATTTGTATTCAGTTATATTTTGTTAAGTGTTTTAAGATGTTTATTTTTACATGCAAGATGTTATATAAATGTAATTTATTTTATTGTATATAGTGCAAAGTATAGATACTGCAATAACGAGTGAACAAATAACCAAAAGCTATTGGCAGAAATATTAAAGAGGCACTGAATATCGAAAACTGTTTGGTGTCCCTTCTGTAGTTAAACACCTCAACTCATTTTCATGTTGTAAAACATCACTGCATCACTTGCATGCGATATTGTGACAAATGACAAGTGGCCATTCCAGCTGTTCTCCCTCCCCAGCAATTAAGACTGCTTTCTTGATGGTCACAAAGGAATACTCTAGTCAGAATCTCTACCAAACCAGGAGCTGAAGCAATGAA